TAATCTCAAAGCTCTCCTATCATGTATATCTCCTCTATTCCTCATCCTTCCTATTTCAGCCTCTACCAATGGCATCATCATCAATCCCACTGCTCGCTTCATTTTTACCATCAATATTCGCTCTACGATCCTGCCTACCTTGCCTCTTTATGTTAGGAACTTCTCTAGGTTGTTCACTACACAAATTACCTAACAATGTGCCATGCCTCTCCATTCACGCCTATTGCCTATCCATTCTATCTCCAATATCACCAAGCAACCTTTCAAATCGTCGTATCATCTCCTCTGTCATTATGACTTGACTATTCTTCCTGCTTGAAGTAGAATCATCTCTGTTAGACATTCTAAATCTAGAATAATATCTGCCCCACGTGTATACACTCGTGTATCACTCAATTTGATTTTTTCTATCTATTAATCTCACCACTCTACCTTTTTCCACTCAATGCTTCCTTACAAGTGTTTCAAAGAATTAATTTGTTCTTAATAAAAAATTCAACCCTTGTGGAGTTTAAACAAAGAATTGAGTGACTCTAGAATGATTCAAGAATTAGGAATTTGATCTTTGAATGGAAATGTCAAAGATATATTCAAGAAAGTGTTTACTGAATTCGGACTGGGCATTATTTTTTTTCGTAAATTGTTTTTTTACTTAATGTGCAAGAATTCAACAAAAAGTCCAAAAAATCGAAAAGGAATTGATTTTGGCACTAATTTAGAGCACAAACAACTTTTGAATTTTTTTTGGTGTTTTAATTAGATTGAATAACTCAAAAGATGAAAAACACGAAGAATGAAGATAAGGACCCAACAAAAAATATACAAGGAATAAAATAATATAACCTTGATTTTTGAAACCAAGCTCTAATATCAACTTATGTGAATCCATGTAACAATTGTAGTTACAGAATCCACGACAAATTTGATCAAACCTAAGAAAATCAAGAATCAACTTTTGAAAGAAATCCCGACTAATAAATTATTGAACTAATGAATCAAGACAATTGTAATAATATCTTGATCTCGTGATCATAAAATTTATGAATCTTACTCGAATTATTGAACGCCACAAGAATTTAATTCTTGATAAGTTCAAAATTAATTTGATGAAGAACTAGAAGAAAGAAATATGCTTTACAATAATATTTCTCAAAATTGTGTGTTTTTACAATGAAAAGAATAATTCTATTTATATGAAATTCCTAAAAACCTAAATAAAAATGAACTTTGGAAAATTGTGTCCTAGTTTTGAACTATGCGATCGGATAAGCTAATGGCTTGCGATCGCATAGGCCAGTAATCAGCCTTCAACTGAGTTTCAGAAAGGGGCTATGCGGATGCATGCTTAGTTACCCTATGGAATCACATATGTTTTCACTTCAACTCCCTCATCCGCTGGTCGAACCAAGTTGATCCATCTTGTTCTGCCCTCCACGTCCAATATGAAACTTATTTTTTTGTTTGTTGTGATCGATGTTTCATCCACCGTAATTTGAATAAGTAATCCAATGGATTCTTTGACCTTATTTACTCGTGACCTAATCATTGGTCCTTCCTCCACGATGAACAGGTCGTTATCCCTGCTAGCTCTTGTTCTATGGTTCTCATCACATTAACTAACAATCCTTAATCTCATCTTATTAATTGATTCGAATGAAATCTTTACGAGTAGACCTACCGTCTTGTAAATTGAGTTAAGTTTCATCTCATTAATGAGTCGAATAACATTTAGGCTATGTTTGATAGCCATGATTTTGCCTAGAACTGGGAAAGTAATTTTAATTTTCTCCATTTTGACTTGTTTGATAGCCAATAATTTCCCTAGAAAATGTTTTCCCACCCCATTACTCACGCGCCCAAATTCCTTCAAATTCATGAAAATGTTTTCC